CTTGGTGGTGAGGAGACGGGGGACTGGGGGAGGGAGGGCTCGGTGGTGAAGGGGGAGAAGGTGGCGAGGGCGGCTGGGGTTGTATGAAGCTGAAGGTGGAGATTGTACTCAAATAGGTTGTATCCATGAAAACAATAACTACGACACCCGAGGCAGGGGAAAGGGTACTAGGAGTCCAGCTGAAGGTCACTGTTATGGGTGCGACACCACTGCTGGGTGTGGTTGTGAGGGTGGCTCCAGATGGCAAGGTGCTGCTTGAGGCTGTGATTACATCACCAGCATTGGGGTCCGTCACAGAAAACACCACCTGCATATACACAGGTTAACACCAGGTTAACACCAGGTTAAGCAGGTTAAGCAAAGCATATACACAGGTTAAGCAATGCACCTAAGGCCCTGACAACTCCGAGTTAAGCTGGTGCAAATGTAACTTCGAATGGAGTGCTTATCAGAACTGATGTCTCACTAGAACCTGAGCTGGGAGAGATAAGGTGACGGGTTACATACAGGTGGGGTTGGATAAGCTGTGGGTAATCCACAGAAGGGGCCGGGTTGGATTAACCAGGGGTTAGTAAGGTTAGACAGTGTGGGTAGGATAAGGGCACCCTACCCCTACCCCTACCAAGGGGCTGGGTTCACTATGACGACGGGTGATCGCGTTAAGTCCGCGTTAGTTCGCATAATGGTGCGAATCTTAGCATTAGGTGCGAATGAGCATGCTTTCGTAACGCAAACAGCTAACGCACAACGGCTATGGAAAAGCGGAAATCGGCCCTCCTGGCTAAAATTTTAAAATTTTTATAATTTTCAGATTGTAAAGGTTCATTTAGAAATAAATTTGCGTCGTTTTGGTCGACTTGAACAATTCATCCGTGCGTATGTTGAAACGCGAAGCATACGCGCATGTGTAGCAAGGCGATACGCACGCGATTCCATATTGCGATTCGTGCGTGTGGGGAGACAATGCGTAAAGCAATACGCGTCCAATCGCACATCAAACGCACACAGTCCGCAAGGCTATTCGCATGCGAATACATGTTGCGCTTCATGCGTATGAAGGCTGATTGCGTAAAAGCCGCCTAACACACACCAAACGCACACATGTCGCAACACAGTTCGCATGCAAACAAATGTTGCGTTTCAAACGTATGAAGGCTCGTTGCGTCAAGTTCAATGCGGCCTAAGCTAACACACACCAAAAACACACGGTTTACCTTTAATTAATCGCATGACATAACAATTCACATGCGATGTTTTATGTGTTGGTCGCATACACACTTCGTTAACATCCACTCAATCTCATAAGAGAATAACATGCTTGGCAGCACTCAGGGGCCCCTTCCGCAAACGAGATCGCACCAGACGCAGCCCTACATCGCACAACGATTCATCATACAATCAACTAGATGCCAGAAAGGCGGCGGGACATGCCGCATGCAAACGCGCACGCAATTAGACCCCCGCTGGCTGTGAGGCAGTTGTGGCGATTGTGAGGCAGCTGACGGAGACGTAATTCGCATCAGGCGCCATCGTACAACGCGCCAACGATGCATGATGCCATCAACTAGTTACCAGAAAGTCGGCGGGGAACGCGGCATCCGAACGTGCACACAATTAGACCCCCGCCGTGAGATGTGTCGGTGGCTGTGAGGCAGTTGTGGGGACATGTCTGGCAGGCTGACAGGGCTTCCAGAGGCATAAACCGCATCAGCCACCGTCGTACGCCTGACCACGATGCATGATGCCATCAACTAGTTGCAAAAAGGCGGCGGGGAACACGGCTTGATGAGTCACGCTCGCTAAGCAACCATCATGGGGAAGGGATGTAAAACCGTCCTCCTCTCGGATGGGTCGAACTACTCCCAGTGGCTTGGCGACTTAGGCGATTTCCTTGCGACGACCAAGTTGAAGAGCTACATCAACAACCCGTCGCCTCCGGGCTGCAACGCCCAAGACACCCTGGAGGAGGATGCTGTAGCAAGCTACATTTCCCTTAGAATATTTTAACAATTACTTTTAACAATAACTGTTAATTCGTTAACGATTCGTCTCAAGTTTCGTACATCTTACGAGCTTCGTCACACGTACCGAACATGGTGATTGTTCGTAAGCGAACCTAACGGGCTGGGGCCCCGGGCCCCACCAACATTATCCTAGTACGGCAAGACCGTGGTAGAGAATCTCCGGCAGGTAGGCCGAGATATAAGCTACCCGGGCGGGGTGCTCTGGCCAGACACTGACGTATCACATTACTAGGTGTTCGGAGTTCAAGACTCCGCTGCCGCCATCTCTAATTGTTTCGTACGCGTCTATGTACGCTAGTGCTTGCCGCTGGGTTGGACTTCTTCCTACTCCGGCGAGGACTGTCAACACAACGCTTCCGCTAAGTCAGTCGACCCGCCAGGTGAGCGACTGCTACAGATGCACAGGCACTCGGCTACCTGTGTCTGTCCTGTGAACTGCCCATGCCGACCTGCTACTTGCTGACTGCTACTTGCTGACGCTGCTGGACGGTGCCACCGGTCTGTCCGCCGTCTGCACGCTGGCCAGCAAGAGCCAAGTGGACGAAGTGCTGCAGGACATGGTGATGCAGCTGAGGCCCGCCACCCGAACCATGCACAGGTGCACACGCTGCACAGCGACAATGGTGGTGAGTACATCACCGAGCAACTGGAGCAGTGGCTGCACCAGCATGGCACCATGCACACCCACTCGGTGCTGTACACCCCGGTGCAGAACGGAGCAGTGGAGGGACTCAACCACACGCTCCTTGACCGTGTGCAGGTGATGCTGCACGACACAGCGATCCCAGGCAGCTACTGGCCGGAGGCTGTGCTCTACACCAACCTCCTGTGCAATGTGGCCCCCTCTCAGGGCCGGGAGGCCACGCCATGGGCACCTTATCACGGTGTACCCCCCGATATCAGCCACCTCCACACCTTCGGCTGCCTGGCCTACATCCGCATCCCAGCCAGCCAGCAGGACAAACTCGGTCCTCATGCAAAGGTGGGAACCTACCACCAATCGGAGCACAGCATGGCCGCCCACCATGTCCTCGTCGAGGGCAAGGTGACCATGAGCAGTGACGTCACCTTTGATGATGACCACCGCGGCCCGGTTCACAATGGGTGGGCACCCCCTTCCGTACTAGCCCCTCCCACCCCAGCGGCAATGACCCCGTCGGCAGCTCTACACCACCCGCCATGCTGCCGACCCCAGCGGCCACCCCACCCCCGGTGACCCCAACACCACCCCTCCACCCCAACACCCGCAGTCAACAGCAGTCCCTGCACACGCTGCTGGCCCTGGTCAGTGACGGCCCGCCCCCCCGACAGCAGCAGCGGCGGCGGCAGAGAGTCGGGAAGTCCACCACTGCTCGGGTGACAGCGCTAAGTCTAATGTGCCTGGCGGCAGTGGCGGTGGTGGAGGCAACAGTGCGGTGCACACTGTCAACGACATGCTTGTGATGGCGGACAACCTGCAAGTGGTCACAGCCGCCAAGGCAGCCATCACCGGTTGCTCCACAGTGCGTGACCTTGGCGAGGCGTGCTACTACCTGGGCATGAAGATCGTCCAGGATGGCTGCAACCGCTGCATCGTGCTCAAGCAGTGGCGCTATGTGGAGCAGCTGCTGCAGCACCACAGCCTGGAGAATGCCGTGCGCCACCGTGCTGCCTCATAGTATGCAGGCTCTGCCAGCCAGCGACGCCCAGCCAACAGTGATTGATGGCAGTGGCTACTGTGTGCTGGTGGGTGAGCTGAACTACCTCGCCACCAGCACATGCCCGGACATCACACACACTCTGAGCATGCTTGCATGACACATGCCCGCCCCCACCAAGGCCCACATGGGGCTCGTGCTGGGCTTGCCGCTGGCACCCCCATGGCGACAGCGGCGGCAATGCCAGCAACTTCGGCGGGTGCAGCAACGCGGACTGGGCCACCGCCGCCGGTCCACCACGGGCTACACATTCTTGCTCGGCAGTGCAGCGGTCAGCTGGAGCAGTCAGTTGCAGTGCACCGTGGCTGCCTCGTCCGTGGAGGCCGAGTACCAGGCCGCCACGGCAGCCGTGCACGAGGTACTATGTGGCTGTGCAAGCTGGCGGGCGACCTGGACCTGTCACCCGGCGCCGTCAACATCCAGCTGGATTCACAAGGTGTGCTCAGCCTCGGCAACAACCCCATCACGTCGGTGCACTCCAAGCACATCGACGTGCACCACCACATCGTGCGTGAAACCGCCGGACATGGTGAGGTTAACGTGCTTCACAGCACGCGCCGCTGGTGATTCAAAAGCAGGCGCGGCGCCAGCAAACACAGTGTGTGCTGAAAGGCCAAAGCGATGGGAGCTGGCGGAAGAATGAGGGAGTGCGTCGCTTCCAGGCGCACTGGACAGCTTTGTTCGAATGGGCTGAGTGTGTTGCGCCGGATATGGAGGTGTTGTATCACATCTTATCGCAGGAAAAGAACCATTTGGCGGATGTCAATCCCGTGATACCCAGGATACTACAGGAGGCTGCCACCGTGTCCGGTGCGGTCCCTGCTCCCTCAGCCGGATACCGTGATACCCAAGATACTACAATTACCCCCCCTTCAGAATTGAGGGCGTCCTCGACCGTTCGTCTATCTCAGGGTACCAGTGAGACGTCAGAATCCACAGGAAACCAGCGGCAGCAGACCGCAACGACCCCGGGTCGGAAATTGAGATGCCAAGTCTCGAGACCAATTTGTTGTATCACGTCTTATCGCAGGAAAAGAACCAATCGGCGGATGTCGATCTTGTGATACCCAGGATACTACAGGAGGCTGCCACCGTGTCCGGTGCAGTCCCTGCTCCCTCAGCCGGCGGCGGGACGTCACTATGGATGCCAGGCAGGCCACGCTAAAAAGCCACGAGCTCTCCAAAAAACACCAAGAAGCCATGTGCAACCACGAAGCGCGGGCCCTTCAGCATGAGCGGGACCAGCTGACAGTGCGGACGGTCGACAACCTTTTGTCCAGAGCACTAAGCAAGTCCGAGAGGGGAGTTGTGCAGCAGCTTCGTGCAGAGCAAGGTCCGCAACCGCCTGGACGAGCACCTGGCGCTCTGCGTCAGGATGTTCACACAGGAGCTGTATGACCTGCACATGTTCCCCTTCGACGTGGCGGTGAAGAAGTGGCGTGAGGCCGTGATCAAGGGGCGGTACCGCATGAACGACTAGCTTCTGATGTGGTGCAGAGGCCTAGCCAGCAACTGGTCGGCGGCTGGTGCAATGCAGTGGTGTTGATGGTGCCGACAGTGTACATATACATAACTTTGCCTTCACGTGCTCATGACGTTATGGACAGTCAAAGTGGCTCCACGCCCTGCTCACAGAGACACTGGCGCAAATGCAGTTAGGTGCACAGAACGATGGTGGTACGGCATGTGTGTTTCCAGACGTCAGGTGTTGTTTACAGCACACCGTACGGCCTTTGAAGGGGGGGCTCTGGGGGGGCCGCAGCCCCCCCCAGCGACTATACAAATAGGAATTGTAACCGCAAGAAACACCCAGTTCATTACTCTAGGGTACTAGGCCCAAAACGAAAAAAAACACTGAGGGTGGGTCGAGCACCTATCTAAATCCCCCTTCCAGACAGGTCATGGCAGTGCGGGTGCAGTTGTAGTGTGGGTGCTTTCACATGGCACTCGGTCAGTCAGTGTGGCGCTGCAATTGCGGGGTCGTGTCCCCCGAGGTGCGCTTTCCTAGAATTTCACGCCCCCCTACAACAGGGCTCATAATATGTTGTATGGGCAATATATTGCAATATATTGTGCAGGGAGTGGACATGCAGTTATGACGAGCGAATAGGAAGGAATTTGTTGTGCAAAGGTGTGCGCTCGGAAGGCACCATGAAAGTAGTTGTTTTTTCATCGCGTTGTGTTACCAGTGATTGGAATTCCCGTGATTTCGGAGCGGTTTCGCTTTGTTTGATATCTGGTGGTACCGCCGGTTCCAACACCGCTGGATCTGGACTAAGTTCGAGTAGTTCTTTTGGCGCTGAATGGGTTCGTGTGTCTCCATTTCGTCAGTAAAATTGGAAGTCACCTATAGGCCGGGCCATCGCCTAATAGGTAGGACCGCGGAATATGTGGAGTATAGGTGATTTCGCGTATATGATCGTATGTATCACACCTATAGGCGATCTGTTGTATACAGCATGGCCTATAGGCCTGTAGGCTATAGGTTACCATGTGTACGCATGCAAAACTGTGAGAGCCTAATAGTCCGTTGTATAAAGGTATGCCTTTATGTAGGCCACTCGTGTATACAGTGTTCGGGGGCAAAGCTGCACTAGCTACACCTTTGACCTCCCTTAAAATGCTGCAAACTATGAGGTCTGTGCATATGAACCGTTTTGTATTCACCCGTCATGCCGAGGCACATGCATCGATGGAGTCCATGCAACGCCGTCAGGCACCCCTCGTCATTAAGACCTGCTAGGAAGACCTCCTATTCGCGCCAGTTGCACCGCAAACGCCTACGAAATTCCACAAGTATTAAACTGTTAATAATTATCGTATTCTTAGGTATCACGCGTGTGTATGCTTTGAAAATACAAAAGTTTTGCGACCGAAACTAGTTTCTGGCTTGCCGGGGTGGCAAGGTCTAAACCTCTTTTCCAAAAGCACTGAAATGAGTTCTGCAAGGTTATAATCTTGTCGGGTCTTTTGCTTGATAAATGCATTCCGATACGGCGGTGACAGGAGGTGGCATCTACGTCGACTTGAAGGCAATCCTAAGACCAATGGGATGAACTAACAGATTTAAATTATGTTTCTTGGCTGCGCTAAGTATTTTCCTAGGCGAGAAGTTCATGGTCTGCTGCCGACCCAACCTCCGGTACGACAATGCTAGACAAACGTAGCAGATGTTCATAAATGACTTTTATGTTTATGTCAATATTATTGCTATAGAGGCTCTGGACCGGACGGGTGTAAGATGTGCGTTGGTCGACGCGTTGGCCTTACGAAGAAGGAGAAAAACGCGAAGAGAACACGTGAATTCATATGCATAAGTCATGGATGGCGACGTTTTACGCTCTGAATGGTGATTCCTGCTTTTGTGTTCGGTTCTGGACCTCACATGTTGTCGTACCGGAAAATTTCCTTCCTGTACGGCGGTCACAGGAGGTATCTACGTCGACTTGTATGCAAAACAATTACACCTAGGGATCATATGGCGGTTGCATTGCATGTTTCTTGGCCGCAGCCAGCAGCAAACTCAAATGGAGTTGGGCCATTTGCCCAGAGGCTGCCGCATGGACGACAAGCCAGGCTAACGCAGCTGATGTTCATGAGTGCCCTTTAGGTTCTAAGTATAAAAGCTCGAAAAACCCCTCTTTATATTGCGTTAAGTACTACCGGTAAGGCGCGACCAATACTCACGTGAGATCCCGGGATCGAGCCACGGTTGGAAAGGGTGCAATTTCAATTCTATAGACACTTCAAGAGAGGTAGTGAGGTCGCGCGATCGATCAGAGCGATGACTTGGGTACTACCCAAGTATCTAAAGGGTGACTCATAAGAAAAGCCTATTATGCCATGCCTGTACAGGTCCTATTATAGGGAATCATGTATACTTGCGTCTATAAAGGCAATGTCGTTTACAACATCAAGTATATACATACCTGTATACCGCATAGCCTAAACATCCCTTGCTACAGGTTATGATGTAAAAATGTACTTATAATACTATGCCATACATGATCGTATATTAGGGCATCACTTACACATGCGCCTCTTATGCCTAAGCCTTTAAGTCTCGTATAATATGTGTACACCTTACTGGCCTATATACCTTTCACCTATTTTCCCGAATATCTCGCCTATACAATGCCCGAAAAAATACAGACGTTCGCGGCCTTGTCTTTGTTGTTTGTCGTGTTAGGCCTGTGTCTTTTCTTCGTTCGTTTTCTCTGCTGTCGGTGACCTGGGTGCGTGGAGGGTCATTGTTGCAGAGCCGGTGTTTCAGTTCAAGCCCCTAGTTTTGGCCGCTTGGTCACCCCTGAGCAGGCACATGTTTTGGCTTCCCGTCGTCCCTCTCTTCAATGGGCATCCGTCAGCATCTGTTGAGTGATCCGTCGCGTCGGTGGCGGTGGGTCAGTCTGTGTTCCCTCTTTTGCCTGCGTAGAGGTGGCGCGTCCGCCCCCCCTGCTGCTGGGGTGTCGTTTGGAGGTCGTTGAGGCGTTTGGCTTCGGGAGTTTCGGTGTGCACGCCTGTCTGGCAGCTCTCGCGTTCTTTTGCCCTCTTGCGGGTCGGCGCGATGCGCCGTTTGGTGGTTCAGTATTTCAACCGCTAGAGGGGGTATCTTCTCCTTTGGCATTTGTCTCTGACGCAACAACTAATGCGAGCTTGCGTTAAGTAAGATGGGTTAGTTGTGCGTAAGGCCCAGTGCTGCCCGTGTCCTCAGGGCCGTAATTCATTGCGCGCATTACACTAATAAGCTTATGTTGGAATTGTTGTTCAGCGCGTATGCATTTCTTATACTCACGCTGATCCTTCTATAACGACAGTCACTGTCGTCTTACACTGTGTAAGGCAAAGCCCAATGATTTAGCATCTTCATAACAAGAATCTGTCTTTCTTCCTCCATAATGGTGCACCATTCATTTGCAGGCAAGCAGCGGGAAGCAGGAAAAGGGGGACTAGACGGCACCAGCAGTAAGTTGCCATCATGCAGGTGCATACACTGACATTATGCCTTGCCATTTTACATTCCAAGGACACGAGCGAGCAGAAGGAGAATCGCAAGGAACAGGACAAGCGCAAGGATGGTAGTAAGGATATGAACACGTTATGCCGGTGTCACACCTACAGCCGTCATTGTACGTAACATGCTCACAACTATGTGTTCCTGCTTAAATCATGATTTGTTGTGATCCTTTCATGTGCAGAAATATGCCGTCGTTCGTGAAGATGACACCAGCGGAGGCGAGGATTGAGCGCTTTAGTAAGAATACAATAGTGGCTGTATTGTGGTACAGTTACATGCGCTTAACATTTGTGTGTCCATTTTTTCTGACACTTCTAGACTGTTGAACGCGTTTACATGGTAAGAGTTATGTTGGGGATTTGCTATGAATTCGTACCTGTTATTCAGGGATAGTTCAAATGTATGAAGAAAACAGTGAGTGCTGTGGTTCACAGGTCATGTGCAACGGCGATGCACATTGCACTTTGTACAGCTCGTGTACTGCTATTGTAAAGCTTTGTATTGCACGGTTGGCCGTACAGTTCGCAGTCCCGCACGCAAATCGCAGTCACCCGCCTTAAATTGAAATGGTTTGCGAAAATCCTGCGAATGTATTTGCGAAAGTCGCAAACGCACATGCATTCGCAGGATTCGCAGTCGCTTATGCCATTGGCAATCCCTTGGCTCGCGTTAAAAGTCACCTGGTCGCGTTTAGGGTCGCGTAAAACTCGCGATATCATTCGCCGCATTCGCACCATTCGCAGCCGCGTATGCCATTCGCAGGCGTTTGCGTTACACCTATAGGTAAGCTAACGCTCGCGTTAAAAGTCACCTGGTCGCGTTTACGATCGCGTAAAGTTTGCGTTAGTTGCTTAAGCTAACGCCTGCCAGCCAAAATTACTCAGCTCGTTCGCATGCGAATAAAGATGAAGATGAAGATACGCACAAGCGAACCGGTGCGTTATCAGTGCTTAAACTCGCGTTACATCGCGTTAGCGTCGCCTTAAACTCGCGTTAAAGCCTCTTAACGCGACTTTAACGGGACGTAACGTGATCACCCGTTGCCATAGTGGTTATGGCGGGAGTAAGGGCGGGTTGGGTAGGGTAGCGGGTAGGTAATGCTTGCACAGGGGTTACTGACGTTTTTATGGCATAGGGATGAATACCAAGATGTGAGGTACCATAAAGAGCAAGGAAAAAAGGAAAGAAAAAAGAAAATTTACTCGGAGTCCAGATGCAGGTATCTGCCTGAGATGCTTATCTGTGTTGCCGCTTTCCGATATTGATGGACCTGGAATGTGACTGAGTCCTATACTGTAGTAGCTGGTACACAGTATGGCACACATAACGTCTACAAATACACGCTAAAAGTGCTCCACCAGCATCTCGAGAAGCCTTTTCAGCGGCCAGCTACAACACATACACAGCTTGGCAGGCGGTGACATGCATGTGGGCCATATGGCCAGTGTCAGGCCTGCTCAGATACTTGTAACCTTAATACATACACATACACACACAAACTCATTCATTCTCTCTCTTAACCGTTGGCGTATGCTGATATGCATTTCATGCAACACAGCCACACGCATACACCAGCGACACATAATGTAACAGCAGTGTTTTTGTGCCATACATGTCATGAGTGATCACTGCATGCCATGTTTATGCTTATTCAAGTACATCCATCCGCAAACGCTGGAAACAAATGACAAAACGGGCAACTTGCCTAAACATGTCTAAATAAGCACGCATGCAACGCACCGTGACAGGTACCCCCACGTAGACGAAGATGTTTCCACCATATTGCGGCAGCACCTGACCAGTCTCCGAAACAGTGATTGAGGAGACCACAGGTTGGCTGCTCAAGTCCCCCAGCATCTGCACATACACAAGCGTGCAACAATCACGAATACAGGCAGGGAGGAGTGGAAAATCATAAGGCAGTGCTAGCTTAATTTAATGCGCGTTAGGGTTTTTACTCATACTAAGTAGGGTAGGCTGCCTGTGGCTGCGTTTCGGGTCCATGAAACAGTAATAGGTTGACATGGGTTTTCGACCCACTGCCCAAGGGTAGGAGGAGGTGGGCACAGGCTGCTGCTGATGTGTGGCTGGGACCCAGAAGGGCCCCAGACGATCCAGAACCTTGAGGAGGGGGACTATCGTAGCTGTCGTACAGTATGCCACACACCATCAGTACATATATGCACTAGGGCGCGCTCCCAACATCTAGAGAGGCTTTTCTCGCGGCTTGCTACTATACCGCTGGCATAGCGCTAGCACATGCACAGACACACAAGCAGCACATACATACAGACGCACGTGCACACACAAAGCTGTACATATGTACCTGTGTACATGTATGTATGTTGTTACAGGGTGGTTAACTTCGCCAGCGGCCCCCTTTCCTGGGGCAGTCCCTGCTCTCCCCTGCTAGAGGGGCACCCTAATCCTATGCATACATGTACACAGATATGTGTACACAACGCACCAGAAGGAAGGTGATGTCAGAGTAGTGTCCCCTGGACGGTTCAGATATCCTAAGTCCAACAGCAGTCATGTCGCCAAGATTGTAGCCAAAGTTGCGCCATCCAAGACTGCCGTGTCCGCCATAAATGGAGCATGCAAACATCATCATAATACAGGCGTGACCAAGAAGTAGGTTAGAATGGGTGCATGTGAGTGTTATGTGCTAAAGATGAAAGAGTAGTACACGAATTGGATTCGAGTTTTGGGAGGAGATAGATGCAATCATGCAGTAATGCGAGCAAGTGGCTGGTCGCCCAATTAGCTACCTGCCTTGCTACCTATGCTATGCTAACCCGCACAAACGATGCAGTAGCTCGTTGTGTGCGCAAAGGATTTTGGATATTCGTTCCTTGCACGGTGACACATGCACGGCGACACAATGTCCCTAGACCACTAGACTCAGCAAACAGGAAAACAGGAAGAACTAAAGAAATTGTGTGATGACGCAATAATGTTACTGGCCAGTACGGCCGCCGTACATTCAACATGTAAACCTTTCTCATGTCTTGCCATCTACCTATCTATCTATCTCAGGGGGTGTTTCCACTTGGATTAAAGGTCACGGATTATGGGTTAAAGCCTGGCATATGGAAACATCCCGCGGATTAGCACGGATCAGGAAGCAAGGTTCACGATGGCTTGGTTATAACCCGCCGGGGTTATACAATGGTCACTAATTAGTGACCGTTGTACGCCCGTATACGAGCTTTTGGCGAAGTAATTTTTTTACATAGCCTTATAATATGCACGTTATTGCCAAATGGCCCAAGTTCAATGAAAAATATATTTGCTACTTGGAGAGCGGCGGCGGCCCGCGGGATGAAGCGGACCGAGTACCAAAGTATTACAGCGGATTACGCGGATTACGACGTCTTGTTGCACCGCCTCTAGAGAAAGGAAATTGGTAGCTTGAAAGGCTATCCTTTATATAGCTCGTAGATGCCTCCGCGGTTCTATTATTGCACATGCTCCTCAAATGTCTTAAAATGGTTCGTATGACAATTACCTATGTATACGTACCTGCATCCCCCTGGTACTGTGAAAACAGTTAGCTCCCCCTGCGCACGCGTGTAAATGCGTACATATCGTGTGAGGTTGCAATGGCAGCAGTGCAAGAAAAGAAGTGCAATAAGTTTAGGGAATCTTTTTGAGACGAGGTCAAGCTAGCTAAGGCGCTAGGAATGGTAGCTATAGCTACTTAGCTACCTAGCTAGCTAAGTGAACAAGAAAGTTTGATGTTTGGGACAGGGGGGTATATCTTCACCCGTGGCCGCTACCCAGCGAAACCCTGCCTCCCCCAGTATTTCGGGGCATGCCCTCCAACTCATAGGGGGTCTAACAGCGGCTAACTTCTTAGGCGGGGCTGTCAGCCGGGCTCATTATCAGCTGCTGACGATAGTTGTCAACGTGGCATAACAGCCAGTTAGACACTGGGTTAGAGGCTGTTTGGTCCTGTTAGGCCCTGTGACTGACATGTACCTGGAGCCCACACTGTTAACAGTTGTCTGATTCTAGGGACTGTTAGCAGCTGTAAGGACCTGTAACAGAGCGCTTTCTGCCACAACAGGATATTGTTGACAGGATGTTACATTCTGGTTGGGTCACCCAGATGCTGAGAAAGAATTTTTGACGGCTGTTAGGGTTTTGGGAATCTAATTGTTAGCAATTGTTCAATTCACTTAAGCTGTTAAGCGTTGCCAAGGGCTGTAGTTGCTAACAGGCCTTGAAAGCTGTTACGAGCAGGGACATGCTAAAAGGAAGTTCCATCATGTTACTGGCTGTTGCCATTAGATAATTTGCTGAACAGCTGTTTAAGGATTTTAATTGCTGTTTTGAGGTTCAGACGCTGTAAATGTTATGAGCTTTTACATGATCCCTGTCCACTGTTAAATCACACATTCTCTTTTTTTTGGAAAGCTGTCTGACTTCATTATTCATGCCATCAGCATCTATTTGCCATCATTGGGGATAGCTTGTACTGCATTTGTAGGCACAAAACCACATTCGTCAGGAATTATATACATATGTATGTATTACACACAACAGTCTGGGTCGCCCTGGTCACCTCACTTGCTCATCATGTGGAATTGTGCAGTATAGTGCACAGCCAGCTGGCCTGTACAGGCATCTATTGTCTCTATTCTTTACAAGTCTGGAGGCTGCTACCAAAATCATCACAGCAACAGCAGTACCTTTTCTTGGCATGCAATTATACACACATGTTCTTCAACAACCTTCACCTGTGACCTGTTTCACACTACTACTGCACTGCTTCCATTTTTCCTAGTGAACACCTACTACACACCACTGAACCACATAGCTCTAGACTGCAGCTGCCCACTTGCTCTGTATCCCTGCTCATCAAGGAACCTCTCTAAGCAACCAACGCCAGCTTGCCCTTGTACTGGACCATGGAGTCATTCCATAGAACATTTGTGCAGCCATGGGAGAAAGCCCACTCCTTGACCTGCTGCTTGCTGAATCTGCCAAGTAGGCTCTGCAGTGGAAGCTCTACGACCGTGTGCTTCTTGAGCTCCTTGCCAATCTTAATGGTACCACTGGGCAATACCATGGAGGTCTTCTTGCTGTTGTTCACCCTGTGCAGAATGAAAATGGACACCTTGTCCGTGTTTTCCTGCATCGTGAATATGGATGGACCGACCAGTGCTTATTCAATGTTGTGGACATGTATGAAAAGAAACATAATTATTATGTTATTAGCAGTAGCATAAAATGCATAATCCAGCAGGCAAAGACATTAATTTCAAGCAGTTCATGGTTGCACTGCATTGCAGCTGCAATGTATGCCACACATGCTTACATTAATTGTATGTTGTGAGGCAGCTGCAGATGACAACATGGTCATTCTTGCGAAGAAATATCAAGCCTAATTAACTTACAAGACTGCCAAAGACCACACCGCCAGCTAAGAGCACAGGACTGTCCTTGCCCTCAACAATGAAGACGAACTTGTCATCTTCATTGTTTAGAGGCCCTAAGCTCTTCTGCAAGCTTTCCAGGTGCGACTGTGAAGACTGGTACTTCTCAAACTCCTCTTCATCAGCTCCAAAGGAGTTGAATCTCAAAGCATCTGTTGGCAAGGCATGCACATATCTCATGGTTAGTAAGGTCTTCAGCTGCAGGTATGATGTATGCAGGCATGTATCTTTCATGGTATACATATTTGAGGTTTCAATACAAGCAAGTTGAAAACCCAATAACCCCAAACTATAACTAAGTCTCTCCTCTTATCTCTGCATTTACACATAAGGGCTAGAATGAATTTGCAGCATACACAGTAGCAGGACATTGAATCCCCAAAAAAACAATTGTAATACTGTTTCCAAAGAACTCTTAGTACTCACCCTCCACATTGGCCTGCTGCTGTAGATTTCCAATCCACTTCTTGCAGTTGTTCCATCTCTCAATCAGGGACTTCCCGACAGGTGCATGTATGTCCTGGTCGGTTGCTTCTGAGTCCAAGTGGAAGCCAGCCACGGTTCTGTCTCGCCCACCCAGCGTAACCATGAAGTCCTCAATCTCCTTTTCGGTCTGTAGTCAAGCATGAGCACCCATGAGTATTGAGTGACAGTCTTTCAAAGACGAATAATTCAACCCTGCCCCAAACTTACCACTTTCAAGTAGATCTTGGATGCTGAGTTGTAGTCGTCCCCATCTCCTTCTTGGCTATCCCAGCTGTTCTTCCTCTTCCGGGGGTTTGGGTTGGCAACCGCCTTAAAGGCTGCCTCAAGCCCATTGATTTGGTGGCACCACATGTACCATCTTGGGCTTGAATCTCTCCTTGAACTGTAGATTCATTAAGCAGTGCAGTGTTGTACCTCTCAGTAAGGAGAACTTAACATATAAAACGCAGCAGATACACAAAACATCCTCAACAAGTGACTGGAATGGTTGTGTTTTTGTATTGTAACATCATGTTTAGTCTGTATTTTCACAGTAAAGCAACAGGTTTCTATGCTTACCGTTTTGAGGCTCACCCTGTTGACCTGCTGCTGGTCAAGAAGGTCTCTCTCCCTGAAGCCCATTTCGTAGAGGGTGCTGAACATCATGTTCAGCACCAGTGCATGCACCGGTACGTACCCTCTACGAAATAGGCTTTGAAATCGGCTGTAGGCCGT